AAAAAAAAAAAAAAAAAAAAAAAAAGTTGAAAAAAAAAAAGTCATACAGAAAATTTTCTGTAATTTCCTATCTATGTTTCCATGTTATCTGAAATAATCATCATTTAAAAAAAATAGATGAGAAGAAAAGGCCACCTCCACGGTGTTAAATTTCATATTAAAGAGAAATCACAAACAGTGGCTATTGCTGGGACTGTTGGAGCCCGTTGACAGTGTGAAAGATTGAGGAAAGAGCTGTTATTATTGGTTCAGACTTCTTTCATTCCTGGTATTTAGAGCGTAAGCCTTTTATGGAACACTTCTTCTCTTTTCTCTTTTCATTTTTCATGACGAAGAGGACATTTGTTTTTCCTCAAAGAATTCAACAAAAACATGTCAAGCCATCATGTTTGAGCGTAGAGACGAAGGGAATGGAAGTGAATAAAATAGTATTCCAGTTCAGATGGCTGCTTTTGACTCTAAGCACAGTTTTGAAGAACATCAAAAATACATGCAGGAATTAATTAGGGCTAGGCAAATGAATTCCAGTAAATCCAGATAGCTTTGAAGCAAGCAAGGGTTTTGGAGATAGGTTGTCTCTTCTCAACACTTGAGAACAGTATGAGATAGTAGAGTAGGCCAAGTTAAACTAAGAATGATTTCGTATCTTTGGGAAAGGAGCTGGGTTTATTGCAGAAGCCACCATTAGAGTACTTTTTCTTCTAAGCATTTGTTGTGCGAAGTCTCTCAGGGTTACTTGTTTATATTGAATGAATGATGAAAACTTTTTATACTAATCACCTAATTTAGAGCTTAGAACTTTGGGGATATTGCGTGGTCTAGGGAAATTTACTAGAAAGTCACAGTATTTGTAGATGGGTTTTTTTGTTTGTTTGTTTGTTTTTTTCTCCTGAGGCATAGCCTCTCTTTTAGTATGAACAACTGTTGTGGAAGTCAGGGTGGGGGAAGGGCTTTGCAGGTGAGAATGTTTCACCATTCAGCATCTAGATTTTCATTTAAATTCTCTGACTTTAATTTATACCTCACCTTGCCTTCCTCTGTTCTTGGTTTCTTGAGTTGGAGCTTCTCTGATTTTAATTGTTCAGATTTTGTGTCTCTGAATTATTTCAGGAGTGGGAAAGGGGATCTACAAGGTTCTGATTGTTTCTTATACAGATTCTCAGCCAGTTTTCCTGTTTTGAGCTCTGTGCGTCACCTCTGCCTTCTTTGAGGCATGATGATTGCAGGATTCTGAGGACCACATCTGCTTACATTATTGTTATTTCCTTGGCAGGCAGCTTGGTTTCAGGCTTTGCTGTTCTGCCCAGTCACTTAAGATTGTTTCATGCACCGGCCATCCTCAAAACACTGTTGCTGTCTTTACCCAGTGTAGTTTCTCCTCTTGGACTCTATGGGATTAATCCTTTGCTTTTTATATTTCTTTACTTTCATTGTGGGATTTAGGGGATGGGGGAGTCCAACAAATGCCTATGTTCAGTACTAATTGATAATACTGCATTATGAAAACAAAATGCCCATATGCTTCCAGGATAGGTTTGCCTACAAAAGCTTACCATAATCTAGTTCTTGACTCCTTTAGCCTCATCCCTTAGCCTCATTTTGGAACTTCATGATCAGCTATTCACTGCGCAGATCACTTTTCACTTTCTTGAGAGCACTTACCTTCCTCTTGCTCCAGAGTACTTGCCTACATGCTGTTCACTCCCTCTCCCTTAAACACCCCGTCCCAGTCTCTCACCTTCCTTAAGCTTGATTCTTCATCTTGTTTCCTTCTGCCTTAAAACTAAAATCTTCTAGGGGTTCCTGGGTGGTTCATTTGGTTAAGCATTCACCTCTTGGTTTGAGCTTAGATTCTGATCTCACAGTTCACGGGTTTGAGCTCCACGCTGAGGTCTGTGTTAACATTGTGGAACCTGCTTGGGATTTTCTCTCTCTCTCTTTCTGTCTCTCTCTCTCTCTCTCTGCCCTACCCCAGCTCACACTCTCTCTCTATCTCAAAATAAATAAACTTAAAAAAAAAAACAAAACAACTAAGCTCCTCTAGGTAACTTTGCCTTAGTCTCCTAAGCTTTAGTTGGGTCTTTCTTAGGTATTCCTATAGTATTGGGAACTAAGCATTTATCATCAGGGCCAGGTTTGGGTGAGGCAAGCTCCTTAAATTTTGACCTCACACTTTTTTTGCTTCATCCTTGTTTTGGCTCTATTCATGTGTTCACAGGGTCAGCAGACTATGTATGGCCTATGGCCCAGATTCAGTCTGCTGCTTGTTATTGTAAAGTCTATGAGTTAAAGATGGTTTTTATAGGGATGTCTATGAACTGGGTGGCTTAGTTGGTTAAGCATCCAACTCTTGGATTCGATTCAGGTCATGATCTCACAGTTCGTGGGATTGAGCCACATGTCAGGCTCTGTGCTGACAGCTCAGAGCCTGCTTGGGATTCTTTCTGCCTTTCTGTCTTTCTCCTGCTTACACTGTCTCTCTTTCTCTCTGAAAATAAACAAATAAACAAAGAAAAAGAATGGGCTTTATATTTCCTAATGGTTGAAAAAAGAATAGTAGTGTTTACTGACACATGAAAGTTTTCCAAAATTTTGTACAGGAATACATCCATGTGCATTTCTTTACATATTGTTTATGACTAATGTTGAGAGTTGAATATTTATGACTGAGACAATAAGGCCCACAAAGCCTTAAATATTTACTAACTGTCCCTTTACAGAAAAAGCTTGCTGAGCCCCTGTGTTCGAATTGTTTATTTAAGTCCCCACACATTCACTGTTTTGTGCTGTTATTATTTTTGTAGTCAAGGAAATAAATGTATAGACTATGGAGACATCTGTCTTTGCTGATTGCATCCTTATTCCAACCAGATACTTTATTGTAGTTTTAGTTGTATACATTACATTTCAATGTTAACTTGATATTTGCTTTTACAATGGTTATGGTTTATTTTTTAAATCTTGCTTACTAGGTATTAATTGTAGGAAGTCTAGAGAGCCTCTCTACCATTTGTTTCCAAATTAAATGTGACTTGAAGACAAGTGATATATATCAGAAGTTACCAAATTGTCATGGTTCATGGCGCCCTTAGCGTGTCTATAATATTTTCACGTGCTCATAAGCCAGAAGAAATAAAAATATCTCATGGTTTCTCTTATTAACTGGTTGGCTCCATGCAGCTTAATATGTACTTTAGTCCTAATAATTTAGTAGTTAACTGAAAAACAATATATAAGTCTAAAGAAAGAATAATATATTTCATTCTTAAATTGCCATAATTACTTACTAATGGAATATGTATGCTTATTGGGCACCACTCAGATTCTCAAACTTTGGAGTCAGATTGGACACCTGCAACTTCATTTTGTTTTACCTGGATTTCTGAGTAGTACTTCCCAAAGATAGAAAGTCATCATAAAGAAGAATTCTTGTGGTATCTGACAGATATTTCTCTGTGTCTCTGAATAATTATAAGCCTTTTGTGACTTCATTGCATCCTAGGATGCAGCACACAGTTAGCAGAACTCATATAAGTAATTGTCTTGAACATGTGTTTCCTTGACTGTTTATTACTTGTACAAAGTTGAAGTATTTCTAGGAAAACATGTAGAGGCATATAAGAAGAACAGTGTGGGAACTTAAGGTTGATTTTATATTCCCCAAATCCATGAAGTAGAGATGTTGATAGTAATTGCATTTTTTCAAAAGTACTATAAGTGGACAAGTGTTTATAAGCAAACCCTGAGATTGACTTTCAGTCACTATGATCAGTACAGTTGGTTGTGTTTTCCTTGATAGGTTCTAACACTTTGAGTCAACGTTCTCCAGAAAAAAGAGAATCTTTTGTGTGGAGAGAGATGTGTGTGCATGTATACACATCACACACACAAGGATGAGAGAGAATATGAGAGAATGGAGGGGGAGGAGGCAGGGGGGGAGTGATTCTAAGGAATTGGCTCACTTGATTGTAGGCGCTGGCGAGTCCTAATTTTTTAGGAAAGGCTGAAAATTGAAATAGGATTTCTGGGTTATAGTCTTGAGGCAGGATTTCTTCTTTTCTGGGAACCCTTAAGTTTTGCTCTTAAGGGGAAATTCCCTGATTGAATGAGGCCCAATCCACATTATCTAGGGTAATCTCTCTTTTCTTTAAAGTCAACTCTTGGTACATGTTAATCATATCTATAAACTGCTTTGACAGTAACATCTAGACTAGTATTTGACCAGACAATTGGACACCTTAGCCTGGCGGAGTTGAAAGGTACACTTAACCAGCACACTTAGCAATTCTGTATTATGTTGATTATTTTTAATGTAGCATATAAATGTCCTGGAAACTGATTTATTTTTCTTTGAAATACTGCAGGTTGAGGTTACAACCTATCCTTTCCTCTAAAAGTAGCGACAAATCAGTCCAGCAAATTACGCTTTAAATATTTAAACATCTAATCACCCAAGTGAATAACTATAACCTAAGTACAAGTTGACAATTTTGAAAAATGAGTGTACTTTTTTAGTGTGCCAGGAGTGTATTGGATTGGTGATTTATTAAATGAAATTACTAAAATCTAAATCTATTTAGATCTCGGAATAAGTTGGCTCTCAAGATTAATGAGAGTCATTTTTCCGGTTTGCTCAAATTATTCCTTTCCAGCTCCAGGCTTGCCCCAAAGTCTTGTATTTCAGTTCTGTCATTTGCTGGAATTGAACTTTAACCACACCTTGTGAGGTCTTAGCCTTTAACAGTAGTGCTCCGCAAGTAAATAGCATTTCATCTATTTTAAGATGCCTCCTGCTCTTTTTTTCAGATGGATCAGCTTTTGGGAAATATGATTGAAATGTGGGTTGATCGAATGGACAACATTACGCAGCCTGAAAGAAGAAAACTTTCAGCTTTGGCTTTGCTTTCTCTTCTGCCATCTGATAATAGGTGAGGAAATGCTTTTTAATACTTTTGTTTCTTTAAAGCATCAAAATATTAGCACTATCTTTGGCCGTTGGTATTGCTGCATGTTGCTGGGCAGTGTTGTATTATATATATATGTGTGCTAATTTTGTTAGTAGACCGTGATGGGACAAGTGTTGGTCTAGATCTAAAAAAGATGTGAATGGGAGTGGTGGGCACTTCACTTCAACTTGGTCATGTTCATTTCATAATTTATGTCACTTTTGTCTGAATTTTCATTTTTTTATAATCAGATTTTACTACTTATTTTAGGTCCTCTTTTTTGTATAAGGTCAACGTGTAAAATTATGTCAGTAGCACTTTATAAAGTATCCTCCTGGTAATTCAAAAGAATGTTACATAATTTGTTGTTACTTATTGTGCATTATCTCTAAAGAAGCTTGCAATTTCTTTTTTCTCTTTGCATAGCTAAAGTCATTTTGTTATAGTTTACACACTTTGTTAAAACTTTCATTTCCATAAAGCAAATATAAAATCCTTTGATTTGGACGTTAAACAACACTATCAGTTTTTTTTGTTTTTACCCCTTGTCATTGTGGAGTTTGGCATTACCTCTTTCTTTCTTTCTTTCGTTCTTTCGTTCTCTCTCTCTCTCTCTCTTATTAATTTGAAAATTTTTTTATTTAGAGAGGGAGGGAGAGCACAGCAGGGGAGGGACAGAGAAAGAGGGAGAGAGGGAGAGAGAGAATCCCAAGCAGGTTCCACACTGTCAGCCAATGCGCCCAATGCGGGGCTCAAAGTCACAAACTGGGAGATTATGACCTGGGCCGAAATCAAGAGTTGGACCCTTAACTGACTGAAATGCCCAGGCACCCCTGTTTTTTTTATACTTTTAATTTTAAAGGTGTAAAGCAGGCCTTAAAATTGATTTTGTGTGAGAATAATAAACTAGATCATTATGTCTTAGGGAACTTTAAGAACACTTGTATCCTAATGATAAGTTAGGATAAACTAAATCCTGTAAAGAACTGAAATAAATCCACTTAGCAGGTGTTGTTTATTTCTGATATGGTAGTTTGAAATAAGCCCACAGGTAGTTGTTTTGTCCTAACACCATAGCAATAGATAATTATTGAACACATACTGTAATGCTGTATGTCTTTATATATTGCCACGTGTTTAACATTTACATCTCATTCAATTTTTAATACAGTCCTGAGGTATAGGCATGAATATTTTCTTTTTATAGAGCAAAGAAATAACTTGAAGATGTAAACTAACTTTCCTTGTGTGTGGCATGTGGCATAACATAAGGCATATTTTGAGCTGGCCCCACTGGATGCCAGGACTTGTTCCTTTAAATACAGAGTGGTGCTCTTTCTTAGGTGGACGTGCACAAGACCAACATATTTCCTCACTCTGAAATTGAGTGGTATCTTACTGATTTCTGAAGACCAAATTCCAGCTACCTGTGTTTCTACTTCTGTTTTCCTTTCTTACTGGAGAAACAGTGACTTGAGAGTATTTAGGCCTTTAACATGGAAGTGTTAAAGAACCTCGTCTTGGACAGTAGCCAACACTGTAAACATTTGTTGAATAAATTAATGAATGGAAAAAATATGAAGGTTAATAAAGCATGTTAGAGTTGTCTCTAACCAAGTACTGAAATTCTTGAGGGTAAATTAGAGATAACACGTTAAATGCAGAAAGATACCAGTGAACCTCTCACCTCCAGTTTAGAATCACTGCTTTCAAGAATGACCATTTGGGAAATTGTTAAACTCTCCTTTACCCTAATCTAGTTCTGGTTGAGAAATTTGGTAAAAACTATAGACTTCGGAACTACATTGAAATCTCATTGCTAGTAGTGACTTGCTGATGACCATGACCATCTTACTTGACTTACCTGTGCCTACATTTCCTTGTTTTTAAATTGCAGATACGTTCCTAGTGAGAGTATTGTAAAGATTAAATGAGTTTATATATGTAAGGTCAGACTATTTGGATAGATGAGGTTAGCTGTTCTTATTTCTTTCCTTTCTTTCTCTCTTCTTTTCTCACCTATTCATCCATTTACTGCAGGAAAGAGTTCAAGAAGCCTAAGTCTCTTTGTGTACGTGCACTCATTTTTAATTAAGTACATTTTCAGGTCTATTGAGTGTCTGATATCCTGTTCATTAATTCATTTTTAAAATGTGTATCAGTGACATATGTTCTAAGGAATGTTACTTTCTGCTTGATGATGTTTTATAGTACTCTGCCTTATCCCCAGCCTAAGGATATCTGCTGTGTAAATTCTTGTTCTATTGTCTTGATCACCTTCTTAACATAGTGCAATCTTTTTTTTTTTTTTTAAACTTATGCAGTGCACTTGTCTTGAGTCATTTTTGTTTCCCTCTTCCTTTCTTTAGCTGGAATAATTCCAGGTTTGAATATCCTGCCTTTCTTAGGGTCATATTTATATGTAGAGGAAGCAGTATTTTCTTCATTTCATTTTTATATGACCATAACATTGTTTACATATATTTCCTTTAATATTTTCCAAAAAAATTTCTTCCAAAGTCATAGATTAAACAAAACTACTACTTGGAGATGAGAGTAATCAAACTTCACTTTGACTGTCTTCTCTAAAATAGCAATTCATCTTCCACCTTCAAAGACACATTTTTATAATGCGATTCTAAGCATTTCAGATGTAAGTGTTCTTTGAGAGCAAGTATTGCAAGAATTTTGACCTTTATTTTTAGATTTAACGAAGTCACCAATATTTAACATAAGCTAGTTGAATAATTAAAGAGATTGGCAAAGCTGCGTGGTTTTTAGGTATGATAGCTTGCTTTCCGGGAGAAATTGCCTTTATAATATACTCCTCTGAGTATCAGATTTACTAAATCTGCTTAGATTTGATACTTGATACCTCTCCATAATTCTCATTTATCTCAAAAATAGTATATATAATATCTACACTTGAACATTAATTATTATTTAAGAAAACTTTAATACGGTTTCTAAGATAAGTCATTTTACGACTTTTAAAACGTTAGACTAGTTGAATCAAGGTAACAGTTTCCAAAGAGTACTATTTTGGTATAGTTTAAACATATTTAAATTAAAGGCAGTTTACAGTTTTTAAGTTGTAGACATGTTGCTTCACCTGAGTTATACTTGGCTTAAACTGACCATTTCTAAATGAGTATTTAACTTTATAGAATTTTATTTTCATCCCTTAAAATAGGATGTGTTTTTCTTTTTTACTTCCAGGTCATATATTTTTTTAAATATTTTATAGTATTTTCTTTTATTTGCAAATCGTTGGCCTAAGATCTCAGTAGCTTTTCTATAGTGAAAATCAGTTCTCAATTTTTTGTCTTTCCCAAGAAAAATGTCTTAGAAACGTGTGTGTGTGGGGGGGGGGTGTAACAACTTTATTGACATGTAATCCATAGACCATACAATTCACCCACATAAAGGGTACAACTCGGTCGTTTTTAGAATTTTTCATGGAGTCTTGCAACCATCACCATAGTTGGTTTTAGAACATTTTCATCACTCCCATAAGGAAGCCTGTATTCTTTTGCAGTCTTGATTCTGTCATCCCCCCAGCTCAAGGCCTTAGAGCAAGGGCGGTGAGGGTATTAGGGACAGAGCTGGGTGGAGAGTAGAACATACATCCTAGAAAGACAGGCCTGCAAGGTACCGTTCACTTTTCTTCTCTGCAATGTATCATGCAGTTAATAGTTTCCATCTAACAGTATTGCTAAACAATACTGTTAAAGATAAGCTACTAATTGTCATGTGGGGATTTTTTAAAAATCCATTTCACTCCTGCCCAACTTGTCACATGCTGAAAATGCTAGGATTCAGGTCTTGAAATTGCGATCTAGTGTTTGCTTGCCTGTTTGTTGCCAGCATTCATGCTTTGCTTATTCAGTCATTTATTGGTTCAGGAGACATTACTAAATATGAGTGCATCGTTAGTAGGTCCTGAGTGCTTTAAGTAAAGTGCAGGTTTTATTTTTATTTGGATATGGCGAGGCCATCAGATCAGGGGAAATGGCCATTGAAAGATGGTTTGTCTTTAGCAGTTCCCAAGGGGAGGATGCCCTCCACACCACACAGAACCACAGGGAAGCACCAGGTTGGTCTGGAGGCACAGGGAGTCGGGGGACAATGTGGGCATGAACCTTTCTTGTGGTTTCCATGGGAAGGAATGGGAAAGCGAGGGCGAGGAGGTTTAGGATGGGAAGTTTAGGCTGGGCTAGTTTAAATAATTTCAGTAGGCTCTAGGGTATAGGCACTTTTGCCACTTGTGTGTTACCTGGCCCTTTGGTGATTAGAGCAGGGGGATAGTGGCTCTAAGTGTAAGAGCCTGATGAAAGAAGTAGTGGAGTATGGGCTCTGGATCAGATGGTTTGCATATGGAATGTATGTCGGAAGGCAGTCATTTACTATCTCTAGGAATTGGCTAGCCCTGGGAGGGGCATCCTTTCTAGGGTCATCAAGATCGCATCCGTCAAACCATCAGCATACAGAAAATAACCCATGATTAATACACTGAGTATTAATCAACTTTTGTTCTTAACACCACGCTTAACACCTTAGGGGGTACACAGTAAGTTTATTGAATGAATGAAGAATGAATGTAATACTTAGACTACAGTCATGGGCCATTTTTTCTCCCAACTAAATACATTTTTCTGAACTTCCAAAGAATGTTTGTGCCTGAAAAATTGAGCCAATTTGATTTCTCAGTTTGTCAGTCCTGGTAGGAAGTGTAGCATACTTTTTGGTCACTGTATAAAGTACTATTTGAGGTAGATAGATCATTCTTCACTTTTGCCCTGTTAGCACACCTAATTTAGCAGACTTAAAAAGGAAAGTTTGTAGATTTGTAGATTTGTTGTGTTGTTGCAAATTAGGGGTTCTTTGAATGGAACTACTTAGGAATATTTTAATGTGTTAAATTAATTGTATATATGAATTTTGTTATCTGCCTGTCAATACCCTTTCCAAGAGTATAAAAT